AGTAGAAGTCCACGGGACGTGGCTAGAGAAGTAATTGATAGGATCGTGTGTAGTTGTGGCTAGACTAGAAGGGAGTTCGAGTCGTGTAAGTCCAAACTATACAAGTGTGAACGGTTTGTCAATGAAAGAGCTCTGAGGGGAAGTGGGACGCTTCCCTGAAGAGTTTTTACATCTTCGGTTTATTGCTTTCGCTATTTACGTTGTTTATCCACGTTCTTATATCGTTTTGCACACTCGAGTTAAAAATATACGTTTCAATGACGACTAATAGAGTCGTCGCGATTACCGGTTCGTATGGATGGGGGTGATCATATTTGACGGGAAAAAAAAATTGTGATCAGATAAAAAAATTAGACTTTGATACCATGATATGAGAGAGATGAGACGAATATTGTAGTAAAGATCATCTTAACCGATGATACAAACTCTCTATTAACCAAATATATGTACACAAAATTAAGATTATACATACCTAAAGATAACCTTATGCTCATACAGTAAATACACAATAACAGATACCATGTTGTTATATTCAGATTGTCACATACAAATTCAAAAGAGAGGAAAGCGTAAAGTGGAGAAAGAGAAAGAACAAGAACAAGAGAGAAAATTGTAAAACATGGTCACTTTATTCATAGTATAGGGAGATTATACGGTCTCGTTACGGAACCATTCCGTCGGGTTTGTAACCGTTAGATCAACTATTCACGACGATTACATGATGATCTAACGGTTACAAATTACGACAAAATGGTACCTTAATGGGACTGTAGTATTTCCACATAATATATATAAAAAGATACAATGTACATCAACAATAACCAATGTCCACAAATAATTAGGGCGTTACTATTTACCGCCCCCCTTATTACTAGTCACCGCCCCCCTTGGACGATTTTGCCCTTCTCATTCGCACAATGTGTAACACCCCGCTATTTTAAATACATCAGAGTGCGCGATTTTTTTTCGCAAATTTTCTGAATAATTAAATAAAATACTTTTTTTTTTTTTTTTTTT